ATAGTATATTTATATGTGTTAAGTTAGTAAGTTAAAACTTGAGTTGAAAATGACTAGATAGAAAAATATGAACAGATAGAAAACTGAAAAAAAAACCTGCAAATGATTTTGCTTAACTCATTCATAATAAGAGAAATGCACATTAAAACCTCACACAGCATTCTGATTCTTACCAGATTAGCAAACGTACAGGTTTGATAGCACACTGTATGGACAATGCTGTGGATAAACAGGCAATCTCATGTACTGCTCATGGGACTACAAAGTGACACACCCCATATAGAGGGGATTTGATAGTATGTAATGGAATTACATATGAATTTATCCTTTGACCCAACAATCCCACTCTTTTGGACTTGTCTCCAAAGATAATCTGGGAAGAAATAACAAAATGATGTATGCACAAGGCTATTTATTACAGCACTATGGTGTGATAATGGAAGACTATAAATGATTAGAGCTTGACGTCTAGATTTCATCTGGCTGGCCTAAAGTTTGTAGGCTTCCAAACTGTCCTGATATCCCAGATCAGGTATTGGCAATATTTGGCTGAAGTACAGATGATTTTCAGCTCCACATTGGGGGTTAACAGTGCTGTGGGCCAAATCTCAAAGTAGTTGGCTTCTTTTTGGGTCCTCTCCAAGTCTGTGCCTATAAGTGTGGTGTCTTCTTACTGCCTTTCCCTTCCTTGGTCCATTCTTTTCCATCTACCTAGTCCTTTTCCCTAAGGGTTCTTCTGTAATATTGCTTCTTCCTCTCAGGCACTGGAGAACTTGACGTGAATGCTCTAAGTAAGGCAAGGCCATAAGGTGTTAACCTTCTCTTCTCAGGTATTTAATAACCAAATCATCTACTAGTGGTAGTGTATTTGAACACTTACTTTGCTGTGGGTGACGAGGTTCTGGAAAGGCAGATCTTCTGGTATTTGATTTTTGTAGATGGTGCCACTCCGAGGTAGACATGCTAAGCTAACTTATTTCTTGGTTCGGGTGCATTTCACCCCACGTCCTGCCCCCCATGTCAATGTTTGAAGTTAGGATATATCTTAAAATTGATAAGAACATGAATGTAACGTTTCACTCCTCTTGAAGAGCTGTTACAAAGTTGATAGTGTTTTTTATAGTAGATGGCATCTTAGAACCCAGTAAATGTGTTCATAAGGGGACAAAACATGTGTAATCAGTATTTTTTATTGGAAAATAGCCATACACTGTTTTTCTCCTATTCTCCTTTTGTAGTGAGTTTGTTTTCTGTGTTAGTAAAAAAGGGCCTTTGCTGCGTGATTGTGGGTTGGCACAGAGAAAACAAGCACTCAAAATTGAGAAAGGAAAATGAAAAAGTGTGGAGGGACATTTTATCCTGTTAATAATGCTAATATTTATACATATATCTTTCCAGAACTCTTTGCATTTAATATAATTTTTTACTCCTATTTCAAATACTTTCTTCTCTGCATTTCTGTGACACCATGTTCCCTAGTTTTTATACTCTTTTCGGCTCTTCTTTTTCAATGCCCTTTTCTCATCTCAACTTCTCTACCAGACCTTTGGATGACCTACTACTGTTCTTTTACTTTTTTCTCTGTCTTTTCCCCCCATCTATAGCCTCTCCTTAGGAGACCTCATCTAGTTCTATAAATTCAGATATCTTCTCTAGGGTTTCGATTTTCCCATTCGTGTCCTTAGCCTGAAAGACCCCCCTGAGCTTAGGTTTCATATATACAAATGGCTGATTGGTATGTCTAGTTGGATATTTAATAGGGATCTCAAATATAGCATGGCCGAAAACCCCTATTGATTTTCTGGTCCCCAGATTATTTCTTTCCAAACCCTCCCCATGGCAATAAATGGCACCACAAAGAACTGATGCTCAGGCCAAAATCCTTTCCATGTTCTCAGGAATCCTATTGATAACCACTTGCATGACTCATATCTAATCTCTCAGTGAGTTCTTTTGATATTGCCTCCATTCACTTCTCACTCTTGCCATTGCTGTAATCTCAGTCCACGGTCTTTCACTTACTTTTAAACCAGTGTGTCCACTTCCAACTGGTAAAGACAGTAGTACCCCCAACTGTCTTTAATTTTGCCCCATCTATAGTCTTGTCTTTACAGTGCTTCCAGAATGGTCTTTTTGAAGTAGAAGTTCATCTTTGAAACCCAGTGGTGACGTCCTGTTACACTTATAATAAAATGTAAAGTTCTTGCCAACCTAATCTGGTTCCTGCCTGCCCCTCTGACCTTTCTCTCCCTACTCTCCCTATATTTAATCTCACTTCTCTCTGTTACTGGAACACGGCAAGCTTGCTTGGTCCTGTTTCATGGCCTTTATTCTTGTATCTTCTCGGAAAGCTCTTTCTTCCTATCTCTGCAGATTCTTTCCCATTATTTAAGTCTCAATTCAGATTTGAACTTCTAAGGGAGACTTATTTTGACCAGCAACACGCCCCCTCGATTATTCTTTGTCCATTAACCACTTTTATTGTTTTATTATCATTGACCAGTGCCTGAAATTATCTTGTTTCCCTGCTTTTTGTTATTATCAGACTTTCTCCTTAAGACTATAAACTCCTTGAAGGTAGAAACTCTTGTGACAGCCACATTCCCATTACCTAGAATAAAGACAGGCACATAGTAAATTCTCATTGTGTTTTGGTTGTTCAGTGACTGATTTATGCTTGTAAATGGAACAGTCTTTTGACAATACTAAGTAAGATGAATTAACCAAAAACCAAGTTCAGAAATAATTGAATAAGAAACTGTTCATTGGACAAGAGACATTCTTTTTTTGAAGGGTGGTTAAGAAAAAGTTAGGTAATTTTTGTGAGCATTTTGGTACATTCACAGGTTTCTTGTTGATTACAACTACTGGGTCACCAGCCTAGTATTTACATTATTTTAAAAGTCAGTACATTTGAATATTGACAAAATTCTAGAGAAAGTAGAATGATTTGCCTTATTTATTGCTGAAGTTCTCCTTGAGAGGTCTTTAGGTTTATGATTGTTTGTTTCAAATAAATTTACAATCTCTCTTTTTATCATTAGTTAGCAGATAACCATGACTTTTTCTTGTCTGCATAATACATTGCTCATAGTTTTGCTTCATCTTTCAAAATTCAACACTTGTTCAGTGAATATTTAATGAGCATCAACTGTGTACCAGACATTGTAATAAGTACTTTAGATATAGCTATGAATAAAGTCAAGTCTCAGCCCTAAATATTTGTTAAATTGCTGACTTTCTTGAAACTTATTTTAGACTATTAGTATGACCTTCAGAGCTGTAGGACGTTGGTAGAAGTGCCATGTGCATGTGGTCTCACATATTATTTCTCTGTCATCTTATTGTACTTACTGGTGTTCCATGGCTCTTCGGATGTCTGTTCTTTGCCCATCACTGCGTTAGGTCCTGGACTTTTACAGAACAGCAGATAAAATTGTTGTCTTTAGTATCTCATAAATAATGATAAAAACAGGCTGGAAAATAAATCATTTTAATACAGAGTCATAAAGTGCTAGAATAGTCTATGCACAATCTGCCATGGGAGTGCAGAGAAGAGGCATTTAACAAACTTCAAGCTGAAACCGAAGGATAATAGGAGTTAGGCAGATGGATAGGCAGGTGAAGGGGTACATGAGTTGTCATTTTGTAAAGAAAATAATGGTATTTTAGGAGCACAGACTAGCGCAAGCTTTAAGAACTCAAGGTAGTTTGGTGTGGCTGGAGGGACAGATGAATATAGGGATAAATGAATATTGAAGTTGAGGAGGTGGCTAGATCTGGATAGGCCTCGAATATCAACATGCAATCATTGAAAGATTGTAAGAGTACTATCATCACACTGATATTAGAGGAATATCTTTCAGGTCGCATTGTGGGGAATAGTTTGGAGAGAACTAGAGGGGGTAGGTGAATACTCATCATCTCTGAGTTTGAGCAGGGAAGTGATATGATTAGATTTATGTTTTATAAAAGACCACTCGGGCTCTTGGGTGGGACATATACTATGGATGGGCGAGCTATGAGTGGGAGAAGTGAGATGAGTTAGGAAGGATCGTAGTATTCAGCTAATGTATAGTAAGGAGCTTTCCTTACCTTTTTAGCATTTCAAGAATTTTTGGACCTTGCCTCTTTATAAAAATATTTCATTATTTTTATAATAAAATGTTGGGGAAAAACATTTTTGCCAAGTTTCTAGAAGCTTCGATGTGCTCATCCTCCCTCTCATGTAATATTCTCACTTGAAACTATCTTCTCAGAAGTTGTAACACAGACATCTGTATGTCCTTTTAGTTATTATATCCTTTGACAGCTTCTATTCTTACTGAAATACCATTGAAGGTGCTGCAGTTTTCAATTTTGGTTTTCCTTTTATTGTGATAATCCTATTTTAATGTGTAAATTCTTCTAGGCAGCAAGGTAGTTGGAATAGCATCAAGCACTTTAGGCATTTATAAATTCATTTTTATAAATATGATAGGTTTAGGTGATTTGTTGCATTGCTAGTGAGTTTATTATGGTATATAACAATATTTAATCAAATTGTTGAGAGGAATAAAAGCCTCACTTTGAGGTAAATCTTTAACTTTTCAAGGAAGACAAATTATATTTTTAATAACTTCTCAAGCTGATGATACATGTGCTTGAAAAATATTAACATGCAGCCCCCAAAGAAGCAATTTCATATTCAGAGGTAAGATTAGACCAGTTTCTCTTTAGTTTTTAGAAGTTATTAAATTCTCTCAAGTATTAAAAATCTAGGAAGTAAATGCTGATCTTCTTTATATTTTAAATGAAAGGTTATACATTTTAATATTTATTTCTCATGAATATTTCTATATTAGAGTAGTTACCTACTATATTGTAATTGCCTGTTTACTTGATTCTATCTGCTACATCTATTCTGTTCTTCTCCAGCAGTTCCAGTGCCATCTGAGTAAGCATTTGGATATTTTTGACTGATTGTGATACTTACTTTTTCGTATTCATTTTTTTAATAGAAAATGCATCAGAAGCAGATTTATGGCTCCTGAATAGTTGTACTGTGAAAAACCCTGCTGAAGACCACTTTAGAAACTCAATTAAGTAAGTAGAAGATGATTTTTTTCTTATTCTTTGTAAGTGACATAAGAGTTAATTTCAGGAAATTAGTTTTTAAAAGATTGCTAATATATTCAGTATGAATTTAAAAAGTATGTGTTGGACTCTCCTTCCCCCCGCCCCCCGTCCTTTAATTCCTCCCCCACTTCCACCGCTGACCTATGGATGTTGCCATTTCCCCTTAAGAACTGGATCTCTGAAGGCGGAGCGTCCCCTCTCACATGCTCACAGAGTGTACCCAAGGCCTGGCACACCCGAAGTATGGTCCGTGGCTTCACCTGGGGCGTGAACCCAGGACCTTCTGCATGTAAAGCAGACGTGCTAACCACTACACTATGGAACTACCTGCTGCGTTGGACTTTTGAGATTATATTGTTTTGAATTTATCTGATGATGAAACTTCAATGTAGACTTTTCCAGTAGGTGATTTGAGTATTTGTGAAGTTAGCTAATAGGTGGTTTGAGTAATTATTAAGTATAAGTATTACTGGTGTTCTCTTCTAGGGCATTTAGTACATACTTTTTGAAACTACCCAAAAGCAGTCCTTACCTCTTTTCACTTACCTGCCCATTAGCACTGTTCTAGATGCTAGTTATGCCTGGCTATCAAGAGAAGTACAGTTTGTTGAGGGAAATAAACATCTAAGTCCTTGGTTCTTAACTTTTTTCCCTCAAGCTAAAGTGAAACAAGTATTTCTTTTTCCACTTGTGCTCTGAATCTTACCCCACCCACCTTCTTAGAAACCTCATTCTATCAGTTATTTCCTCATTCTCCTGTATTTTCAACCTCTCCAAACTGTTGGTGCCTTTTCATCTGTATTTAAACATGCTCAGGTCTAATCAGCTCCCTGTACCCATTGTGCCCCTTTTAGCTATTGTCCCATTTTCCTTCTTGTCTTCCTAGCCACACTTAAAAATTCTTCATTTCCTAACTTCACTCTCAGACTCATTCCCCTCTCTCCGCAAATGGCTGTATTGTGGAATATGTGTGTGTGTGTGTGTGTGTGTATGTGTGTATGTATATATATATAATTCATGAAATCTATACAGCTTAAATAATAATAATAAACTTAACACCTGTATGGCTACTGCAGAGCATAAGAAATATGACGTTGTCAAGACCTTAGAAATCCTTTGTCCCTCTTTCAGTCATATCCCTAAAAAGTAATTTTTATTCCTGACTTCTGTGAATCATTCCCTTTTATTAGTAAATTTATCACCTATTAAGTGTGTCTCTCAACAATATATTGTTTAATTTTGCCCTGTTTTGGATTTACTTATTGGATTTCTGCTGTTTGCGTTCTGAGATTTGCTTCTTTTCTTTGGCATTGTGCATGTAAAATAACTCTGGACATTTGTTGCTTGAGTTTGCCACAATTTATCCATTTTATTGTTGATAGAGTTTTTCCCAGTGTTCCGTTTGCATGAACACTGCTGCTATGAATTTTTGAACATGTTTTCTAGCGCACATGTGCAAGAGTTATTTTAGGGTATATACCTAGGAGTTGAATTATTGGGTCACAGATATGTGCATATTCAAACTTTAGTAGGTACTGCCAAACCCTTTCCCCAAATGCACATACCAGCGTTTACTCTCACCAGTAAAGCATGCATATAGTCGTTTCAATTCTCGCTGATACTTGATGTGGTCAGACTTCTAAATTTTGCCGGTCTGGTGGTGGAGATGGTATCTGATGTGGTTTTAATGTGCATTTCCATGATTACTAATGATGTTGAGCATCAATTTATGTTTATTGTCCATTTGGATTTTCTTTTTTTTCCTGAAATGGCTTTTAAATATTTTTTTTTTCCATTGTCTTTTTATTATTTATTTATGGGGCTACATTATATGTTTTCTAGATACTAATTCTTACATGCTACACATGTTGCAAATATCAACTGTGGCTTATCTTTTCACTTTCTTTAGTGGTATCTTATGATGAAGATTAATTCTGGTTTAAAATTTGTTGGTCTTTTCCTATGGGTCTCTGCTATTATTGTTTAAGAAACCTTTCCTTACCCTGAAGTTATTAAGATATTCTCCATTATTTTCTTCTAGAAGTTTAATGATTTTTATTTTTTACATTTAGGTTTGTAATCCATCTGGAGTTGACTCTTTTTTTTTTTTTTTTTGGCATGGTACCAGGAATTGGGTCCTATTTTATTTTAAGTTTTTTAAAAATTAATTTTTTCCATGTAGACACCAAATGTTCCAGTATCTTTTATTGTTTTGTTTTTGTTTTTAAAAACCCATTGTTTCTCCTTTTATCTATGTATTATCCACTCTCATATGTTGTGTCTATAGATGCTCTGGTCTGTTTCTGGGCTGGTTAGTTATACTGATCCATTTATTATGGCACTTATTCTACACAGTCATAATTAGTATAGATTTATATTTGGGAATGCTAGTACCTTTTCTTTTTTAAGACTTTTCTTTGCCCTTCCATATAGATTTAATATTAGGTTTTAAGTTCAAGAAGGAAAATCACTGACTTTGATTTGAGTATTGTGATTACATTGAGTCTCTTGATGACTTTGAGAGAATTGCTATCTTTACATTTTGAGTTTTCCAATCCATGAATAAAATATTTAATTCTTCCTTGACTTTCTAAGGGTTTATAATTTCTTCATGTAGCTCCTGTTCACCTTTTAGATTTTTTTTCCCATATAATATAGATACTGAGTTGTTCCAATATCATTTATTTTTATAAAATCTATTTTTTCTTTTTGCCTGTGCAGTGTTTTTTGTTGTTGTTGTTTATTTTTTTATCTTTATACTATTGTAAAAGGTAAATTAAAAAAAAAAAAAACAACTTCATTTTCTAACTATGTTTACTCCTTTGGTCTCAGAGAATTAATTCTTGCAACACTGTGAAGGATGGTTGGGTATAAAAAAAGGATAGTGATCAGAAGTCCATTTAGGACAGAGTTGCAGTAGTCCAAGTACTGATGGCCTCATCTCAGGTAGTAACGTACAGAGTGGGAAGGAAGGAGTTGACTTGAGAAGGAAGAATTCTTTATACTTTCAATATTGTTGAATATAACTCCTAGATCTCTGATTAGAATGAAATAGCAAATTCCAGAAAGGGAGTTTAGTTAGAGGGAAGACATGCTATAGTTTTTGAACATGCTATATCTGAAGTTGCAGCTAAATATTGCAATAAAAGAATGGATAATATTCGATCTTTATCAGTTGTCTTCTATGTGGCAGGTGCTGTTCAAAGTGCTTTACATTAATTGGATGTTATTTAGCTTAATTTTTGCAGTCTATCAAATTGTATATTTCAATTTTTATTTCTAGTTTATAGATGAAGCAGCATCTGGTTTACAGATGAAGTTCTCTTAAGGCTCTTTAGTTCATAAATGGTGGAGGTGGGATTTTAACCTGGGCAATCTGACTCGAGTGTATGTTTAACCATTTTATTGCAATGCTTCCCAGATAAAGATGTCAGATAAGCAGTTCCAGAAATGAGACAGATATCAAAGAGATCAACCTTAATGATATAGATTTTATATTATTTGCATAGAAGTGATAGTTGAGCATGCTGGCATCCTCAACTCAGAAATTATAGAAAGAGCTTGGTGGGAGGTAGAGGGGAATGGTAGTGACGTGACATGGAACAGGGGAGTTAGGGTCATGTTTAGGAGCAAAAGAAGGAGGAATTAAACAATGAGCAGAGAATAATGTTTACCATATGCTGCTCATTTTCAAAGAATGTTTTATATTTTATGAGAAGTCTGTCATGTTCTCAGATTTTCTGTTTTTTTTTTCCTATAGGAAAGATAAATAAGATATAATGCTACTGATGCCCCCTAAGTACAAATCTCAGAGAATTTCGTTTCTGTGATTATCAGTTCCATAATTCAATTAATGGATAGGCTTCGAGAAGTTACTAAAAGTTTAAAAACTTAGATATAAGTTGTGTCAGTGGGTTTTGTTATGTAGATAAACTGTGTTGTGAATTTAGATTGAAATAATGATATGGTATTTGAATGATAGATTGAGGTAACTACATAAGAAAAGGTGGTCATTTTAACAGTGCAAAGCTAGTGGAGGCAAGCACAGGTTCCTTTAATGCACTATTCTGCTTGATTGAAAGAAAAATTAAAACAATATTGTAGATGATTAAGTATTTTTTTAAATGGCTTTGAAGGCTTTTGATCATTATAATTAGTTCTTGTTAACACCTAAGCTAACTTTTGTTTCCAGAATAAATATAACCCTGTAAAAAGTACAATGATAACATTGAGAAAATGTCAAAATCAAGTGAGTTTTATACATTTAAAGACTTTCAGTGATAGATTACTTGCTCTTGTCAACCATTTTTCTTTATTTAGATGCGTCTCTCCTTGTCATCACTATCTTCTAACAAAGAAAAAGCAAAGACGAATAGTTCATACTTATACCTTAAGTCATGCTATGGATTTGTCTTCTCCTCTAGCTCTGTCCTTTCCTTTCAGCCACCTCTCTTGTATGCTTTTTTCTTTCATGATAGTGAGACAATATTTAAATTCAGGGAGAGACTAATAGGGTGTTTCCTCTCTCAGGTTTTGTTGCACCTAATTCCTTATTCTCAAATTCAAAGATTTACAAGGATGGGCTGGGACCTGTATTTTCTAACCGGAGCCCTCTACAAATGATTGCTTCACTTTCCCACTTATTTTTGGGTGTTTGTCATCTTTTCTGATCATATGCTTTTTTTCTCTTCTAATACATTCTTGGATTTAATAATTGTGTGTCTTTAATTCCTTATCATCTCATTTTATCTCTTGAGCCACAAGGCAGTAGATCATCTTGTTTTAACTGGAGTAAAGGACAACTTTGAGGGATTTACTGTTTTCCATGTGATTAATACAATCTCATTGATTGAGATCCATGAATTATGAGTTCCTGATAAGACAGTCATGGATTTTTGAGAAGGGTAGGTATTTCTCCTGGTGGTGGGTGAGAGTATTAGTTTTGTAATTTCACAGTATAAACAGTA